ACCAACGGGTTTGAGGACGGTATCTATGTTTCTGTGTAAAGACTGGTTTACTATTAATGATTTATGAGTCAAAATCGTGGCTTTTAGAATCATCATTTTGAATTATGTGAGAATTAGAACACTAAATAAGGCCCCCTTACAAAACAGGGGCCCTTGAGGTGTAATGTTCAATGTGCAGTGGAATAGTTTTGAAAATGGTCATGAGTAACGCGTATTGTTGACACTTTACAGACTTGTCAGGAAAAAGTTGGTAGCACTGCACCTTAAAGCATTTGAGTTGTAGACTCTTTTTTTTATAAACGTGAAGAATTTTATCTTTTGTGTTCACACATGTTGCTCTTCTTCTTCTTTTGGTTATTTTAATTCTTCTGTGTACCAGCCTCTTAAGTTCCTTCTGGGTAAATAATAATAATGCAAAATTATGCAATGTGAAATCATTTTCTTGTTAAAGTTACAAATAAATACAAATGCACTTACTTTGGTCATTCTAAGTGAACATAATTTGGAATTAAATAACTGACGATAAATGTTATTTAAAAAATAGTCCTTAAACTTTTATCCTATTTAGCAGTATTTCAGTTTTTGGGAAAGAGTAGCAGAAGAGCTGTACTGTCTGAAAAGTTTGACAACCAGTTTTCAAGAGAGTTTGAGCTTGAGGAATTTGGTTTAGCCATGAGAGAAATCCATCTTCAGTGTCTGTCTGGAAAAGCGAGGAGTAACAACGTTTTGAAAACCAGCAAGGCTTTTAAGAGTTTGTGATAACTGTCAGCTATAAATATCAGAGTGAGAAAAAGACAAGCATAGATAATTATTGTCATAGATGTATTTAAATGTCGAGGAGAAGGTGTAAGGCTTAGGGCTGTGGAACCAAGGGACTCCTTTATTTAAACACAGTCTCTCAGCCTAGATCCGTTCTCCCAAAGGGAGTGCTTACTCATCTAAACTCTGAGGTCTAAAATAGGCCCTCTCATTCCACATCTCTTACTCCAGGATTGGTGAATGTTATTGTTTATTATTAGGCCAAACTATTTCCTGCCTTTCTCCAATTTGAGCACATTGCAAAGCGATGGATGAGAGGCAAAAGGGAAAAAGAGTGGCCAACAGAGAAAGATTTTTAAAATGTGTTTGCATCTTGTGTACGCAGTAGAGAAGTGATTGCATTTGTAAGAGGTTTCAATCGATCTGGCTTATCTCATTAGGCAGTGACTGGCACATGAAAAAAAAAAACCCTGTGTAAGTGCACTCAGCCGTCATCCAATCAAGTGTGAGAAAACAGCAGTCCATCTGCACTGTCCTCCTCACCCTCAGAGGCCCCCGAAGAGCTCTAGTTACATCATCACGTAATCTTGAAGGTGAAGGTTCCCAGACATCAACCCAAGAGCAGACACACAAAAAACAACATACTCACAAAGGTAAATAAGATCAGTTGCCATGGAAATGGGAGAATTGAAGAAGCTGTTAAAGTGGATTAAGAGGTTTTGTGTGCGTGGGTGTGTGTGTGTGTGTGTGTACCCCTGCAATCCTAGAATCTGTAACAGTGGGACTTTTTCTAGAGTGCAGAGTCAGAGTACATAGGGACAGCAGCATTTCTCACCGTTTGAGATACATTAAAGGAGATAGTGATTTCCCCTGTAAAAAAATAAATATCTACAGGAAACCTGCCTCAAATTTCAAAACATTTCTTCTCTTGGAGGTGCCATAACATGCTCTTATCTGGATAGTACACATCATGGAGCAGTTTTCTGTTGGCTTACAGTCACACATCATTTAAGCTTATGTATGTACACAAAGTCTGCTATCTATAACTAAATAGGGCCATCACTGTCATGATGAGAGTGGCCTTGCATAGCTATTTACAGCTGTTCGGTGTTTAGAGAAATGCTCTCCAGCTATTATCACATATGCATGTGGCACATTCCTCCTTGTTATACAAACAAGTCTAGATTGAAAAGTTTAGGATCTAACCATTGTATTCTCACCACTGTTTGAGAGCAGCTGTTGAAATTATCTCAAAACCACTTTGATTTGCAATTGATAAGAAGCAAACAAACAAAAAAAATGCTGTAAAGAGCAATTTCGCTCTTTTTAATATCAGTAAAGACTGAGACGACATTTTGTGAGATTTGAATTTTATGAAATCTCCACATACCTTTGGAATGCCTGGTTGATCAAGCCAGTCTGCATAAATTATACTGAGGGTGAGGCTTTTTCTGTAACACAATAGCACAAGTGTTAGCAATATTCCTATTATCAAAACTGTGATTATTATTTCCCAAGACAGCCTTTGAAAGCATGTCTCTGGGAAAATTGTAATTGGGTCATGGCAGACATCAGTATTGGCCAACACCTTAAACAAAAAGACGGGCACACCCACTTTCCTATACAAGGTCAAGCAAACAGGCAAGCAGAGACAATGAATGGGATTTACACACGTGCATGTGTTGCAAGAAAATAGGTGCATGCATGGGTGTAGCTAATGCTGCGGGTTGGCAAAATGGATGTTTTGGACATGAATACAGAACAAACAGCAACGGAACTAATTGGCAATAATAAGACAAATGTACACGCAAAAAAAAAACATTCCCCAGCAGTCAGTAGTATGTATGCAAACTGTAAATTCTACTGTCAAAGCGCAAACCCTGTGGAGGAGGAGGAAGCACGCAGCATAACTTTCACCGCTCTATCAATCCTACCTGCTCATGCATCAAAAATATTTCCGCCTTTGCATTCTTTAAAGCTTTTACTGTGTGCTGGGCCGTTAGCCCATTAAAGGTGTTCTGTTTAAATGAAGCACTCTCATTTGCATTCTTGGATCCCAATTTTTCCACATTTCCAGAAACCGTTAGGATATCTGAACATCGCAAATAGTTACACTACACAGAGTAATTCTAAACTTATTAATATTCTTATAAAGTATAGTACAGTATCATCATTGCAACATTTATCTGAAACTGGTCAGATAAGGATTTTTGTTTGAGGTGTGTCGTACAAGCTGGGGGGGGGGTTCCTGTTTAAACATCCAGTTTGGAGCTTGGAAATCTTCGTCCTTTCCTTTCAAATCCACCAGGTTCAGTGTATATTGGTCAAACCGCATTTGCAGTGCTTCAAGGTAAATGTTAACATGTCATTCAAACCAATACAACTCTATCTGTGAGGACCGTACGGTGGCAGAGGACCAACAGACATACTGACCAACACTGAGCCACACCCGTGTTAGTGAAAAATACGAGACGTGACTGCCATTTTGTTGCATGGACAAGGCTTTGCTCCTTGCTCCAAAACAATTGCAATGTTATTGCTATTGCTATTGTTTTTTTTTTTTACTGTATTTACTAATGTTTTAGTAATTCATCAGTTAGTCACCTTAATAGACAACATCGGAACTGTGTTTCCCGGAAAATGTTAGATTCTAGTCCAGTTAAATCAATAATTAAAAACAGGTTTGATGATATATTTATATATTAACAGTTCTATAATGTCTAGACAGTTTTGTTTGAAGACAGAGCACTATGTCTGACCATGAGAAGGTTTGCCATGACCCCCAGCAGTGGATGTCTATTCTTATCCTAAACCTTTCTCATCTTGTGTGTTGTTTACTGACAGAGGCATCAGATCCAAATATTGACTGTGCCCAACTCCCTCTGCTTAATTCAATCAATCTCTGCTAGTCCAGCAGCTCGCTCTACATGACACAAAAGGCAAAAAGACAACTGGTAGAAGAGGAATAGAGACCGGAGTGGGAGAGAGAGTGTTAAATAAAGACAGGAGACAAGAGCGAGGCAGAGAGAGCTGTGAAGGAAGAGGTTAATGAGGCAATCAGGAGACAGAAAACTGAATGATTAAGCACATGCAGAGAGGCTGAGAGAAAATTAGAGAGGAGGAGAGCAGGAGGAGCAGTTATCCTTTTACACTTCAATTAATATGAGAGCGGACGAGACTGTTCACTTAACAGGATTGGTGTCAGGAGAGTTTTTGGGGTGTGTTTCCACACTGGGACCTGATTATTTAGAGGGGTAAATCACTACATGCTCATGTATTTTAAATAAATGTATTAACATCACATCTGTCAGCATCTATTCATTGCTAAAAAGTTTAAAAGCTAAATGATCGATAAAGATGTATATTTCACTTGATTAGAAGCAGAAACAGGAACAATGCTTCTTTAATCTATTAATGAATTTTTGCATTATTCATGAATAACAATGTTATCATAGCCACTTACGCACCTCTCCATGTCAGGAAAGCTAGTCAGGAACATTTGCAGGAAATCCTGTTACGAAAGTACAAAAACAACAGAGAGAAATGGAGGTATTTAGTGAAATGTGGGAGGAAGAGTACAAGAGGAACACATACCTGATCTTAAACCGAGTGTACAAGGTCAAACCGTGTTTACATTACATCCATTATTTAGTGGGAAGATTCAGTCTGTCACAGCAGAAACAGGAGCCAGGTGGAACACATCAGATACCTCACACACACACACAAATACAGACTTCCAGGTGTGATCGCTCAGCTGCATGGGCCCAAGCAGAATAAACGTATGTTGCTGAGCTGATTTACGCTCATCAATCTGAGAGGCTCCTCGGCCATTTTCAACCACAGTATGCACAGTTTATCCAGAACAGGACAAAATGATTTGCAAACTATTTAACTCGGTATAGGGGGGTAAAAAAAAAAGACTGTAAAAGTTACGTAATGGTAAAAACACTTGGTGGTACATAACAAACATCTCTCTCCAGCCTTAGATGAAGCAGATAAAGGGAAAACAAAACAACAGCAAAGACCTCCTCGTGTCTACAGACTTTTTTTTTTTAAACTGCTGATATAAAACTTAAATTGAGCGTATGTTTATCCCAAAACAAGAAGTCCTATATGATATTTCTGAATTACTTTAAATCAAACACATATTTAAATGGTTTGTAACTCATTGAACTCTGCTTTCTTTTAGATTGCAAACAGCATCACATTTTCTAATCAATCAAGAAATCTGAAAAACTCACCTGAGATAAAACTAGCTGTCCATGGTATTTCCTTACAAATAATCTGAAAAATTCAATGAGTTGCTCCTCTCCCACTTGACTAGCCAAGAATCTAAGGAGGAAGTAGCCCTGAAGAAAGGACAAGACAAATGAAGACAACAAAACAATATGACAATAAAGAGATAGTTCACTGTTTCTCAGGGCTACAAATAACTTTAAGTGGGTCTGCTAAAATAATGTTGTAGGATTATTTCTATTATTTGAATTGCCAACTTCCCTTTCATTTTATTGTTCCTTCCTTTTTATCCCTGCCCCTGACCCTGGTTTCACTTTAATTCTGATCTCTCACCTTGAGGTAGTGGACTTGCATGAAGGTTTTCTCAGGGTTGAGGGCATGTTTAACTGTGGAGGAGCCCGAGTCACTGACCTGACCGGTCTTGTCCGTGTTCGGCCTGCAGGAAGACGAGGGCAGCGTAAAAAAATGACACAGGGTGACAGGATGGGTAATGAGGTCTGTATCAAGCGTGCAAAGGTTTCAACACAGGAAGGTGTCCAGTCCAGAAAACGACACGGAAACGCAAAAAAGGAGAGAGACAAAAACAGAGAGCGATGCTGAGTCTGAGACTGAGCAACAAATCTTTTATTCTATCCCACTCTTGAATACATTTTTGCTGCGGGAAAACCACAGTTTCAACAGAACAAGAGCACACTGTCAGCAACCCTAAATTCAGCCACTCAGCCAATCTCTCAGTGGTGAACACGTTGCCAAGTTGCCATGCTCTGCCGGAGGCAGGCTGCAAATCAAGCTGTAGATTTATAATGGCATGCTATAGTGTTTATGTGACCTCACAGTGCTGTGCTATGACTTTAAAGCCCATGATACGCCGAGCAAACACATAACACTTCCACAAAGAATAATGTCTGTGACAGCCAACACAAAAGAGCAGAGCTCCTGGTTTCACTTTCTCTGTCACATGGCCACAAATCATACTCTCAACCTCCATAAACGCCAACAAACACACATTAAACTGATAAGAGCCAAGCAAACAAAATCCTGTCATGGGATGTTGTGCAATGATAGTTTCAGTTAGCTGGTATTGATCAGGATGAGCAGATTAACTCAGTGTGCCAATAGAATGGCCTTGAAGGATCAGCCTCCTACCAAGTCGATACCGCAGGCGCCTGGCCCACCAATCAATGCACCCTTCATCACTGCTGAGCACTTTTTCAGAGGGTCGCTGCATGGCAAGACCAGACGCAAAAATGTGTATGTGCGTGAACAAACAGAATAAAAACACACACCGGAGAACTGTATACGTCGGAAAATCTGAATAATAGTTGATCAAATGTCCGATATACTCGTCCAGTCACAGTGGAGCCAGAGTAGTGATTAGGTGAAGATGAAGAAGAAATGGGGCAGACAAAAAAAGGAGGGAAAAGGATAGACAGACATGTTTGGCTTCCATCATACTGGAGCTTGTAAATTCTACTGGACTCTCTTACAAGCACTTTCATCATGCATCAGAGGGTGTGATCATGTGTGCAAATGAATGCACATCATGTAATGCACAATCAAATATGTGAATCACAATAAAGACTTAAATCTTATTAGAATGGCTCAATCTACTGTACACTGACCATAGAATTCTTGACTCTTTCCCCTTGTTAATTGTTGTCTGTTCATCTCCATTCCCTGAGTTCCAACACTTGCTTGTTGATTAACTAAATTAGCCTTTTTTGTGTACCCCGGGTGTGTATATGTCCAACAGAGAAAAAGAGAAAGTAAGCTAGAAAGCAAAAAAAACAACAACAGCGGGTGTATATTTAGAGAAAATTGTTCAATTTTGTGCATTACAGACAGAAAAAAATATTGATCCATCACTGGCATGTTTGACAGAGCAACTACTCCCTTCTCAGTGTCCAGACCAGGGATGTATATAGATGTGTGAATCCCTGACTTTTGCGGCCTCTCTTTGTCTGAGATGATTAACTAAAGCTTTAAGAGGAATTGCTGTTCACTGCCATGCACGTCTCACAATAGCTCAATGTATTTCAGAATAAATGGTCCTCTTATCCGACTTGTAAGCCTTGTGAGTTAGAGGGAGGGTGTTTGCCTTTGAGAGTGTGTGTGTGTGTGTGTTGCCATGCATACACCTGGGTGTGTCTGAGATTGAGATGGAGAGAAACAGAGAGAGGAAATCGGGAGCTATTACTGATAGAACCTCATGTCAAACGCGCGTGCATGCGCAAACTCACACACACAAACACGAGAGGTTTATAGCTCTGCAAGCCATATCCTTACAAATTACACTGGGTTGACTGTGGAAACCGGATAAGGTAGAGCAGTGCTCCCAGCAGCCCAGTAAATCAGCGGGGAGAATGGCGTCTGGCCCAGGCTGCCCTAAATATAACTCATCTGAAATGGACTGATAAACACTGGCCAGTGGGGCCCCTGCTGGATTGCGGGGTGTCAATTGTGACACACTGAACTTGGAAAGAACAACCTGCTATCTAGCCTTTTGTGTGCACGTCTATGTGTTTAAACTAGTGAGGATAGTGTGCTTATCTCTATGTATAATCCCTTTCCTTTCCTTAAAAAAACTGCCTCTGTGTGTAGTGACAACGGGCTTTACTTTATTTGTATTTTTATACAACATCTTCTGACGACATCAAAGCAACACAGTCACAAACAAGCAAGCTGACTCTTATTCCATGGCTTGAATTAATTCAATATCTTAAATATGTCCCCCCAAAAAATCATATCTGCTCTAACCTTTACGACTAAATTATAGCCCCAAAGTCAGTTTTTCAAGACATGCCTTGAATGAGGGCAAATTCATCTTGGAAGAAGACTTCATCAGGTGACTCTGAACTTGGGGTCAAATGTCAACGTTGAGCTGAAGAAAAGCTGCTATTTACAATTGACACCAGAAGCCCTCCAAAGACTCCTATGAATAACAATATCCCTTTGAAGGACCAAGTCTTCCTCATGACCTTTCATGAGGACACAGTCAAAGAATTGGAAGTCCTAAAAAAGGGAATCGGGCAGTCATGATTTTACTTTATTTATCTTTTTGTGGATTATTTGTTTATCGAGAACAAGAATATAGAGAACGTACATTTTATTGCAAGTTGTCATGCACTGCATTGGATAAAGCTTTTGCTTTTTTTAATTACATTATCCAAAATTATTTTTCAGTTAAACAATATATTTTCTTTACAAGATGGTATGTTTCCTGGAGAGAAACAGCCTATAAATTAGAAGTAATTACAGGAAAAATTATTAAGCTCATGTAAATTGTCATTCATTTACACTAATTTATTGAATCTTATTTACTGTAATGTTTACTTTTACACGAACAAATATATTGAATGTCTATTTCCATATTCAGGTGACCTGCATGTATTAAACTACCTTCAGGTTGGAGAAGCAGTTGGTTTAAGACTGACTAGTTCTTCTTTAATAAACAACTGAAGGCTTGCCAAGAAATAATGTTTAAAGACTTTGTATTCAAGCTTTTTAATTATGATACATCTATATATATATATCATCTGAAAGTTGACAGGTGTGGAAAAATACAAGAGTACCAAGTAAAGTAGAAAGTCGTGGCTCTGCTAAATCTGACAACCACTTAACACGCTTAGTCATCGTTGTGTGAGCAGGTTTCCTTTGTGCCTCAACATGCTTTACAAATGCTACAAAATTATGAGGATGACGGAATGTCTTTCCTTTGTGTGGCAGCTTAGTTGTTTTTTTTTTGTCTTTTCTATATGTAGACATTGTGTTAGCACATAACGTGGTGCGTCAGAAGGTATATTTCCACGTGCACACGTGGTCCATTCGCTGTGAGTGTGCACAAATAGTTGGCGCTTTTTGAACGTGAGCTCTATATTGTTGATTTAACCCTGCAGGAGGAGAGAAACCTGATCCACCTAATCACCCGTGTGTCTGCCTTGTAGGGGAACACCCAAATAGATGGCTGGAGACACGCACGGCTCTCCAGCACTCCAGTTTAAACCTTTCACTTGCTTGCATCGTCTCATTTCAGGATTTACATCCCTGATCTTACACACACATCGGCCTCATTTCTGAAGGAGCCACATACATGATTTTTTTTGCAAAGATTACTCTCACAGTTTCCAGTAGAAAGTCTCTAAAATGGCAAAGTGAGACCATGAACAAATAAAAAAGACGTACATGTCTGAAAGTTGCTGCCTCATACTGTGTGCTCTTGGTCTGCATATTGTTTCCCTCTTGCTCAATGCCATTACTAAATTCAGTACAGAAAAACAGGAAAACAGCTGTTTTCTAATGGCACTTTATGCATCACGCCTTGCCCCCTGTGAGTTTTGTTCAGACTCCACTTTAGAATCTCCGATTGCACAGTGTATCTGTCAACAGGCAGATGCTGAAAAGATCTACAGTCATTTTTTTGTTCAATCTCCAGACAAGCTTTGGTAATTATGTGTGAAAAAGGCTTTTGTTACTGTCTTGACTACCATATTCAAGCTCGATACTATGTGAGGGTTGTCAGCATGCTTGTTTGGATAGTTTTCTCATTTCCAAACACAGTCACCTCTGATGGATGAGGACTCCAAAACATGTTTGTGAAAGTAGCTAATGACTAAAATCACTGTTATCGACTATGAAGCCCTGATGTATCATATACTACTCAAACCAACTTGATTTAATCGAAACACTCTTTAAAAGTGTTTCAGGTAGTGCTACGAAGTGCTACGAAATTCATAATACTCAGCTTTTCAGCCTCTTATAATACAAAGGTTATCTCCAGTGAATGAGCCCCCTTTGACTCAGAAAGAAAACCAACTAGGGTATTTTCACCATTTAAAGAGAAACTCCTGATTGAGGTTAAAACATTTAATCCCCTGATCACAATTTTACTCCACCCTGGATTAAATAAAGAAGGTGTGGGTCCCACATTGTCAGGATCAAATGAAGAGTTTGCGTTTCATGTTCTGTTTTCATGTAATGGGCTTTTCGCAGACATGACAGTGCAGCACACCTGAGTATACTTTGTTGCCACACCTGCCACACCTGTATCCCTGGAATGCACATAGCTTACATTGGAGTCTGCATGTGCCAACAAAATGGTTTAAAGCCAAACAGAAAGGGGGGGGGGGGGGGGGGGGGTTTGCTTCAACTCTCCTCTCTCTCAGGAATCAGGAGTAATCCCGCTGTCCTGTTTGTGGCGACATTTGTTAATGTGGAAAATGTGGTTGCTTCACATGAACAATAAAAAAGCTAATGCAATGCAAATAACCATAATCTTTCACAACGATGAAAGTCTGACTTTAAAAGTTTATACCATTTCCCTGCATCCTTCATACTTTGATATTCAGGACTCGTAAAGAATGCTTTCTAAATTAATTACCCCTGAAATTGTGGATAGGGAATTGGGCACTGGCCCAAGAACAGCAACACTAACTAAGGCAATAGGAAGTTAGGAGCACCTCCATCACAACATATTGATAAAGTATTTGGGATCAAGTAAATGTCCAATCCAGTGCTTCGCTGCTATTTAATTATCCTCCACTGTGTTCGTAAAGCATAAATGATGTTAAAGCAATTAAACCGAAACACACACCTGAGGATTTGAAGTTCCTCTTTTGAGTTCTGCAATTCATCGGAAAGTCGCCTCCACCTGAGCAGCGACTTCAGGTCAAACAGCTCTGCTGCCTCTGTTGAAGAGAGCTAAAGAGGGGAAGAGACATCCAAAGAGGGACATTGTGCTGATATATACCACACATTAGTGAGCACGTCAATGACAAACTTATCCTAACTTATCATATCTTCGGATCGTGTTGATTTTGGCGACATATCGAGTCTGGTGAAGTAATTTCATATAGGTGTCATTACGAAATGGCACAGACAAACCACAAACATTGGGGAAAATCCAAGTAAGAGAATTTGGTCTGCATGCACGTCAACTTGCACAAATAAGCACACAGCGTTACACCCACTTCTTCTCTTCCTCTGTTTCTTTTTTCATGAGCTCTTGAGGGCAAGTTAAGTGGTGTAAAGCACAAAATCTACACATTTGTTTGTCTGCCTTTTAGTTTTCATTTCTTAATTCAGTTCACAATCTCACTCTTTGATATACTCAGTCATTTAGGACGGGGGTATTTTTTTACATCTGTGTAGGCTTAGAGATGTTATTTTCTGAGCGTTGTTGTTTTCCTAGAACAAAATATGTTCTCTTTCAAGTTGCTTGGAAAACCCCTCTGACCTTTCGGAGGCATTTTTTTGTTTCTTGTTTCTGCTTTTTTTGGACTTGGATTGATGGCTTTCTAAACTGTTTTCCCATTAGCGTGATGATTAATGGTTTTTAACTCTGCAATCGTACTGCCAACAATTCTTGAGGTGCATTCCAACCACAACAATAAAATTAGTTAATTCTGCAGCTAGAGGACAGAGACAAGGAAAATAGGAATGTAAAAGTGTTTTTTTCAGATGCTGCATCACCCAATATCAGGAAAGTTCTGTATTTTGTACAAAACAAACTCACATAAGACAACAAAAAAACACCATCACCAAAGGATTTCTGTAGTTTCGAAGGATTTTCAGAAGATTGTGTCTACTTTATAAGTCACTTTGGATAAAAGCATCTGCTAAATACATAAACATAATTGCATAAATTAAAGGTTCCTATTTACTAACCTAAAAAAGGCCACAAAGACGTTATATTCATAAAATATCATATCAACATAAAGACTTTTTTACTTATTTACTTGCTGTGCTTTAGCCCAAATAATGTCCTCCAGGCAGGTAGCGAAGCCCTCACTGATCCATTCCTCAGTCCAGTCTCTGGCCCCGATAACCAGGCCAAACCAGGAGTGGGCGATCTCATGGCAAATCCTGGACCCACACAGAGACTGGCCGCTGACTCCAGGTCGAGGACTTTGTGAATACAACACACTCTGGGACAGGAAAATCAGATGAGGGCTGTGGAAGACAAACAGCACAGCATTGTCAAGTGAAGGAAAAAGAAGAAAGGACATTCATTCTAATGAGAGACAAAAGAATAAGGGCACTAAATCGGAGATAAAAAATTGAATAACCAGAAAATTAAATGTTTTTGTAATAAAGGAAGTTCAGGACAAAGGGGAAGTATTAGACAGAACACAAAGTTCAGCTTTAATTATTGGAATAAAATAAATACAGTCCAAACGATAGCTAAAAGCTTCTCAGTTTCCTCCAAAACGCTCAAAGGGTCATAACGCGGATGTAATGCTCAACTGCTACTATTACAGGATATTGGACATTAGCATGTCATGTACAAACAACCCATGTGGTTGTTCTAATTAGTATGGATCATAAACACCTAAACTTTCCTTCATCCTGGATATTTTGTGTGCTAAAGGCAGTTTTCTCATACACGACCATGCCGCTACAAACTGAACTGCCTATGACTATGGTTATAAGTATTTCAATGGGTTAAATTAATCTGAAGGATCAGAAGGTCTTTCCTTGAGTTTCCAAAGTAAGATGTTTTTGTGTACAGGCATTCACAGGCCTTAGTATACTTTTTTATGAGAGTAAATATTTTAGACAAGTTCTGAGTAAACCAACATTGAAGAGGGAATTGTTTGTAAAGGCGTGCTAACAAATACTGCTTACAGTATGCATATAATGGTTTCTATTTTATCATTAAAAAATCTCATTTTGGGTGTGACTGGTATTTTTTACAAGTACTTTTAAAGCTTTATGCTTGCCTGCAGCAAATATTTTACTGCTGACAGAAGCCCCGTGCAGCACTTGATACTTTTAAAAGGGAAAATCTTCAAGCACACCTATCCTGGAAATTAAAACAAGGCATAAATAAAACTCATAACTGGTAATATAAGTATAATGTAATATTAAAAAAGCTGGAATAGCTTTACGTGTGTGAACACTCCACAAAATATGTCACGTTAGATAATGAAAAAAAAAAGTGAACAAAACATAAAATTAGATTCCACATTCTAAAGAAAATGAAAATATTACTCTGCAGGAACGGACATAACCTCATTTTAATGTTGAGTAAATGCCCTAACATTTAGTAAGGATCTATTTATGCTACAAAATACATCCAGAAGATAAAAGAAAACTTTTTTGCTTTCATTTTCCGCTCTATTAATTTAATCCTGGCTTAACCTTGAATGTTTATCATAGACTGTGTGGCTACAGGGAGGATCTGTGATTGAGAAATTGTCGTTATTAAAAGTGTATTTAAGGTTTACAAAAGAGAATCAGGGAATGTGAAAACTCCACTAAAGGAGCGGCCTAAAGCTGCAATTTAAAATCTTTTTGAGCGACATTTGTATAATTCTTGGTATTAGAGCATAACAGCGTCTATTGCTCATATTGCAGATTCTCATGTATTTCATTCCATCCATAAGAAGAAGAGATCAGCTGACAGAACATGGCCCATCACAAAGCCTTGTCAAAGCCAAGTTCATGACTGACGACTTTTCTGGAATGTCGTCCTCCCCAACTTTTTTTTCATGTAGCTCCGGGTACCCTGAGGAGCTTAGGGCTGCCTATGCGTGAGAGGAAAGCCATTCTTCAAGAGAAGAATGGCAGAAAGGTCGTGGAGGTGTGAATGAATGGCCTCTCTTTCTCTTGGTCCATATAACAACACCAGACTGTCTAGAGATCCTTTCACACTCTCTAGATCTTAAGTGTCCAGACCACCATTGACCTGACATCTGTGGGGGAATTTATGGCAAATTACACATCCCTGGCGAAAAAGGCTTTTTTTAAAAAAGGGTTTCACCATCCTTCTCCTGTGACAAATGTGTTAAAGAGGCCTGTCTGTTACAGAGGGGATATCTTCGCCTGTGTCTTATATGACGTTGTTTTATATGATATTAGCCTCATGAAGCATAGGCCTCATGATTCCGTTATGTAAGCATCACATAAAAGTATGCGATCCGCAAAAAATATGAGTCTTATTACCAACTACCGACACAGCTACAAATATCCCACCTGTTGCAGGGACAGTTTACTCCCACATGCTGTAGCAATTGATGAATACCAGAGTGATGTTCTCATCAAGCCAAAATTAGCTTCTTAAATCACCACAGGAGTTATTTTTTCCTCCCCATAACCTAATTTTGGTGGAAAGGAAAGTCAATTATAAAGGAAAACTCAGTGAAAACATAGGTTGGGAGTGGGGCACAGATTTGCCAGACAGCCTATTTTTGGTGAGAAGAAAATCAGATAACAGAACAGCACCACTACTCTTTATTTCCCTAAGGACTGTTACATCAAACAAAAGGCATGCTGTCACCCTCTATCATTTAGGAACATGTCAACATCATAGAATGGGGGTCTTATGGGCATAATTTTCTGAGACAGCATCACAAATCTAATTCCTTGTTTTTCTTGATTACACAAACAAAGGCTCTCACTGGAGAGGGAGATGCTAACATTAGCTTTATGAGTTTCTTTGTAGCCTAATCTTCTTCCCCCACAATTGGAGAAGCATGCCTTTGTTGTCAGTTCCAGCAGAGCTTGTGTGTGTGAGGAAGTGAGTGTGAAACACAAAGACAGCCTTTCAGAGACGGCGCTTGCACATGTTCCTCTGAGGGAGACGGAATCCATCACTACGGTGACAAATAGTGTCATCCCACCACGGTGGTGATGAATAACAACGGAATCTTTCACGTTCGCTGATACACTGAGTGACATTAGTTGACATCGGGGACCTGTTGGGGGTTACATGCCTGACAAGACTTACACAGATCCATGCGTATGCAGTCCCCCTGCATGTGCACCTTTCATTTGTTATCATTGTGTCTCATAAGCCATCTAAAGTTTTTGTGGTTCCCAAATAAGAACGCGGGCATTAATCTAGAAAACAAAACTGCCATGATGCCAACTCTCTCAGTGAACTGATTTCTAGATTAACATATAAAAATTGTGGATCAAAGTAAAATATTAGATCAATAACTTTAAGCCTGGTAAGCAGAATATTCCAAAAAACAAAACAGATCTCCCCATAGATGAATGATTCTTTTTAACGTCCTGTTTGCTGTGTTTGAGATGTTTTTGAGTGTCTAGAAAGCAACCATCTTGCAAATAATTCCACTGGAAAACTATATATGTTTATTTACAGCTTTTTTCCAGTTTTTTCACTTTCTCCTCACTTCTTCTTTATACTATTGCTCATTGAGTACTGATTATGTTACTTGTAGTATTTTTTTCAACTTATTTGCACCCTCAGTGTCCTCCTTCTTACACTAGAGGGGCTAAGTTTGAGTTTCCTTTACCTTTCCTTGACTTTCTTTTTTGTGTTTAAAACTTAGGAGACCGTTGGAATTAAACTAATATGTTATTTTTTAAAAAGTGGATTTTGAGTGCTGGGATCATAGACTGTCCTTGAAGTCTACCTTCACTAGTTCCAAGTAAATTGTGACCATTGCTTTTTCTGTGGGAGAAACCCAGACCCAAAAGTACATATGAATATACATAAAGAATCAATCATGACAGCGATGGACCAAACTGACCTTCTTATCATGAAAAATAATATCCCTAAGAATCACAAACCCTAACGTTTAATGAATGAATGTCTTAAATGGTAAGTGTCTCTTTAATAGGGTGGAAATCTATTCATATTAGAAAGACATGTTCTGTGTTTAGTTTTGATTTCCATGATGCTGTTTTTAATTGTATAAAAAAATGACTTTTTAGGTGCAGTAAAGTTCTGTTCTCTGTTCCCTTCAACATGGTTTTCCCTCTGAATAAAAAAACAGGAAAACTGAAGGATGCCAAACAGACTACAGTTTCTATATGTGATGTCCTTTCAATTGTTTTCATGAGATATATAAAATCTCAAGAAAAAGAAAAAGCATAAATAGACTAAAAACACTCACAGACATTCAATACCATGAAGCTATCAAATTCTGGGATTCAATATCCTGATAACAAATAAGAAACTAATTGCAGTGAACGGGACAGAGTAGCAGACCTTAGGCGACTGCAGGTGAGTCTCCCGATGGTGGCACCCCATTGAGTTTTCACGCACCAAAATGAAATAGTGATTAAAGTCCTCCTGTGCCTTCTAACATGACAACCTGACAACTAGGAGATATCAAGCTTGGCTTGGCCTGAGGGCTTCAGAGGTGTGAACCAGGGCAAATCTTCAATTTGGTAAGAAACAGATTGCAGCAGTGTCTTGCTCTTCCATCTCTCCATCCATTATTCATCTTTCCATCCATCGCTACTGCCTGTAGGCCATTTTTCCCCCAGCGGGACACCTCCATGCATAATGCAGCAGGGGCCTTATGATAGTCCTGTAATTGACATCCCCAGCCCGGCTCAGCCCATAGCTGGGACACCAGTAAAAAAGCCCCATGAGACAGAGTGAAAAGGCAAAAAAAATGATGAGGGCTGAGTGTGTCCGTACTGGATGTGTAAAATCAGAGCATATCAGCAGCAGAGATGCATCAAATAAAAGAAAGAGAAAAAAAATAAACTAATTAAAGATTAAGTCAAACAAGATAAAATGACAAACTATGTTGAATATTTATGGGGGGGGGAAGGAGGTTCAAGTAGCAGAAAAGGTGACATCTGTCATCCTTTGTACAACATTTAGCCATTTTCTCAGAGCACTGTCATCTCCCAAGTGTGCTTACAGTTGAACTATTGAACCAACGTCCAACAGATGCTCATGTGCACATAACTACATACTAATGCAGGAACACTCAGACTTTTCAGACACTCTGACAGATGTGTAAAAGGAGGAAAAATACAACCCATTTGACAAGAAACACAAAAATCGAAAACTTGTCAACTTCTTTCCATTGACACGGGGGTTGGAGGACTGGCCTACTCTGGCTTACGGGAATAGGCTTTGTCTCTTTTCTTTCCCTCTCACACACGGTCCGTGGGCTATTTTCGACACAGGAGCTGGTTTGACCAAACTCCTACCACCCTTCGTTCTTTTTTAACAAGTCTGACTTCAAATGTCTGGCATTCCAGGCTGGCTGCAGAACAGCACTCTGCTCCCAGACAG